GAAACAACTCTTGCCCAAAAGACCGGCTGAAGGCTCCGGCAATGGCCAAGAATGACCTGGCGACCAGCTGTCGAAGGACTCTGCGTTTGACTGGTGTCATTCTCCGCCGAAGGTGAAGCTTTGGCACAGGATCTGGAAGATTGGAGACACTGTCTGGTGTGCGTCCGCTTCGCGATCCAGAAGGATAAGCGTTCTTCGAAAGTGATTGACTGGGTGAATGACTGACATACTAACCGACTGAACGAGAAACCAACCGATGACTGAACGAGAAACTGACCGATTCACCGCATGATCGTGTCACATGTTGATCTCATGGCCCAGATAAATTTATTTATCGACTTCTTCGATTCTTTTCACGGTTTAATATTACCAGGGCCTTCGGCATGGCCCCTGATCCCTGTATCTTCGTCTTTTGGCGATTGGTTCGCAGTCCAACTTCTAGCGTCTGTTTCCTTCGAGTGTTTGGAGCATGCCTAGTAGGTGGCTGGCGCTTTTCATAAACAATCCGTCATTGGTGAACCTTAGGTAATTGAGCTGCTTATCATTGATGTTAATCCTACCTTCCAGTTCATCGTCCGGAGCACCGTTTCCTAACAAGCAGTGAAGATTTTGGGCAAATGATGTCCCCTTATTTCACGCCCTTCTCTATGGAAATCGAATGGATGTATCGAGTAGCGTGACGTTTGTGAAGCAGCCATACTTGCTTTACTCCCATCACTTGCTTTAGCAGATTGATGTAACGGACGTCGATGCCCTGTTCTATCAGTGCAGTTCACATTGCGTTATACTCTACAGAATCGAACACTTTCTCGTACTCGATGAAGGCTGTGCCCAGAGGTAGCTAGAATTCGCTCGAGGACTTGATATAAGGTGTAATAAAGATGCTATCGGTTGCCCCAAGCTTCTTCGAGATCCTGCCTGTTTTCTTGCCTGCTATTCGTCCAGAGTTATTGACAAACTGTTGGTGGTGATCTTAGTGAACAGCTTGTAGATTTATGGGAGCACTGAGACTGGACAACAGTCCTTCGGATTTTTTTTCTCAATCTTCTCACGGATTGGATTTGCTTTCACATTGATGGTATCGTTTCCATTTCCAGATTGCAACTGAATCTTTCTGCTAGAGCCCTCCTCTGTGTCTGACCACCTGCTTTGATTCTTTCATGTGTGGGGAGTGTGGGTGTGGGTGTGTCTTTGACTCAAAGAGCTGGGTGTAAACGTTGTTGCAGAAAGACTTTATCTCAGCTCTGCCAGATGTTAATGCGCCATCCCCATCTTTCAACGCAGTGATGGTCGATTCGTAAGGCACTCTGTCCTGCACTGTCCGAGGCTTCTGTGATCTTTTGCTATTTTCTCCAATTTTCGCCATCTGAAGGTATCGAAGTCTTCCTCCAGTCTCCTTCTAATGATCTTGCGGAGAAGAGAGTACTCCTCGTCGTCAGTCCTATTTTTTTCATCCCCTGAGCTTCTCTGGCAATCTCTCTGCCCCTTCTGAGATCCTTCCTCTCGCTCTCTGTGATGTTGCTGCCTCGGCTGACTTTATGCATCGCCTCAGTTTTTGCGCGAACTTCTCGTAGACGTAGTCGCAGCTGCCTTTCATCCCGCAGTCGTCGCTGGAGATGAACGCTATGAGTGCCGCCTCGTCGAATACCATCGGTCGATGTCTACGATTTGCCAATTGCAGTGCCTTCGTCTCGATCTTCTCGTCGAAGCTCAGCCTGACCCGGACGAGTCTGTGGTTACTGCCGGTGTTAAATGATGGCACTGCTGCTATGTCGCGGTTGATGCGACGTTTTCCGAGCAGGATTCGATCTCGTTCTTCGAAACAGTGTTCAGCGCAGTCCGTCTCACCCTGTGGTATTCTTTTTGAACCATGTGTTGCCAGGGTACACATGTTGTGCTTCTGCCATGTTCTCCAGCCAATCACCTCGCTCATTTCGTTCTTCACGAATTTTTTGATCGGCCCTTTCTCGTGCGACCTTGATATTGAAGTCTTCTATGAGGATGATATAGCCTAACTTTGGAAGCAGTACCTTTTCCAGTTCTTGACAGATGTCTCACCTTACTCCTCCTGAAGTTTAGTTGTGGGAGCATAGGTTTGGAGGTCATCAAGGTCATCTTTTTGTTCTGTTGGAGGCATAGCACGCTCAACCTTGGTGACCGCGTGGCAGGAGAAGATTTTGGCAGACCAGATTTTGATCACGGTTCTGATTTCTGCTATGGTCTTCGTAGCCAAATCGAACTACCTTCTTTCCTTATGCCATTCATCGCCTTCAGTCTAGTATCTCGCAGAGGCTAAAGATATCGCAGGCTATTCCTGACGTTTTTTCGATTTAGCGTTTTTTTCTTTTGCCCATGTTGTAAGCTATAGTGCAGATGGTGAGGATG